AGCACAATGTGTGTACATATGCAGGCGCATTTCCGTCATGATCTGCTTTGAATGTATATGTCACTCAAATATGAACGGAACGGGGACGTGTCATTGACAATGACTTGTTGCTATCAGTTCCATGCGTATTTATCGATATTTATAGGAGTTCAAAGTGAATATATATCGATACTAAATAACAAGTGAGTTATGTTTTTTTGTTGGTAATCAATTCGATCGGGGATTTACCGTAGGCATTCCGATTCACCCCAGCCACATGCATAGGGACCATGACTGTGTCCCGGCGACTCACAAAACTTTTGCGGGTCGTCATCGTTGTGGTTGCTCGATTCATTCATTGAACAAAATTGTAAGTTATTCCTATGGTATACATATTTCAACAAAACATTAATGACAGCAAGTTTTTTTATCAAGACACTTTCAAATTCTTAATTATGTTTTTGGCATTCCATAGCCATCGGTACGGTGTGCTTGCCGTGGTAAACTGAATTATAAACAAGAATAAAACATAATTGCCGAAGCCATTGGTTGAATGAAAGGTGTGAAAAAGTGCTAACTTTGTCCTTTGTGAGCTTAATAGTTGTCTGAGGTGGAAGGCAGTAGTCTGCAAGACATCCGGGAACTATGTCTGTTATATGCAGTTCAACTGATCACTGCAGCGGCTGAAGCGTGGCTGTTGGCCGCGTTAGGCAGGTGGCCGCTATAAACAGGGTACTTTACATGTAAAATTCGTAGGGACTGTTTGGTTGTTATCGCTATAGGCAGGTGGCCGCTGTATCCAGGTGGCCGCTGTATCCAGGTGGCCGCTGTATCCAGGTGGCCGCTGTATCCAGGTGGCCGCTGTATCCAGGTGGCCGCTGTATCCAGGTGGCCGTTAACACAGGTTTGACTGTATGTAGCTCATGAGCTAGTACTGATCAGTGAGTGACATTTGTTACCAGACATTTGCTTGTTGGTTTGCGAAACTATTAAAGAATGATGTTGCAGTGCAACAGCCTACATGTAAGTAAAATATTTGTATTGATTCCAGAAATCTTTTGATGCTCACCCGAGAAAGGAAAGTCAAGTCCGTCAGCTTGCATGGGTTGGTGACGGCGTGTGGGTGTCAATTCGTCTTGATAGCACGCTACGACTCTATCATGCACATACATATCAACATCTGCAAGACGTAGATATTGAACCTTACGTCAGTAAAATGTTAGGTAAGTTGACCTACATGTATAACCTTAAATGTTAAATAGGTAGTGCAATTTACATGTAATTAGTATAACAATAATAAATTTGCATATCTAAAAATGTGTGGCAGGAAACACCAAAACTTTTGTGGAGAATATTGTGTGTATGAGCGAGTGGTGACGGAAAATGTGTAGGATTGTATCATCAATATGAATATAATAGTATTGTTGTATTTCATTCACTCTTACAGGAACTGGAAAACTTGGTTTTTCATTTGTACGTATCACAGCACTTAAAGTATCCTCCAATCGTTTATGGGTTGGTACAGGCAATGGTGTTATTATATCAATTCCACTTACTGAAGGTAATTATCTATTCATTAATTGAAAATAAAGTATGACACACTGCTGATGTATGAAAATGTCAGGTGAGATGACGTGGAGTCCATTTTTTAAGTGACCATGCTCCATCCAGACTTGGCTTAATGAAATATTGAACACAGTCCGAAAACGGGGACTTATGTTTTGACCTTTGTGCGTCCGTGTGTTCATGCGTTCGTCCGGACCTGTATCTTAGGCATGCCTAGACCAATCAAATTCAAACTTTACACGTACATTATACCGTAGATACCCTAATTTAGGCGTCCCTCTAATTTAGGCGTCCCCCAAAGGTCAAACCTAACAAAAGAATTCTAATTTAGGCGTCACCCAAACCTGAAATTGTACACAATGTATCAAAGTTGTAAAGTGCACTAAGCTAAGAACATGTGTTAAATTTCATGGTCAAATCCAGACAGCTTGACTTCCTGTTAGAAAGGCACTTTCTTTGTTTCAGACCTAGTACATCAAGTGTGAATTACCAATCCATGCAAACGAAAAACAACTTCACAATTTTGGTTGAGCGATGATCACATGGGCACAGTCATATTACCGTATTTCGTTCGATCTCCGATGTACTGCCATGTTGCAAAGTGACTTATCTAATACTCTGATAGCTTCTAACTAAACAACGTCATGGCTAATTAAAAAAAGAAAATTTAGTGAAGGCAGTACACCAAAGGAGCTTATGACGTCTGGAGGCAAAAGAAAAACGCACGAGACAAAACAATGCCATTTCAATAAACTACCAATCAAAGGAATTTACATTTATCATTTCTTGTTAATATTCATTCCCAGTTTTATGTTCGTATTATATTTCTTCCAAGTGTTACACAGCAATGATTTTTGTACCTACAAAGCATCAAAGGCATACCGCTGTTTTGATTAACTGTCGCGTGAGCGAGTATGTAACTTCATTGCGTCTGCATTGGTCACTGGAGTGTCTAGGAAAGTGTCTAGGAAAGTGTCTGGGGATGTTGCTAAGTCCCTCGGTAATTACCTAGGAGTTAGGTGTATGTAAATATTATGCGCATGCTGTATATTCTGTCTAAATGTAATGTTGTTGACATTAAATGTCGAAAACAGATAGTTCTTATTCTAAAAAACGATTACAGACCACTATATATTTTCGCTTTTTTTTTACCTTTCAGTCTCACGAATTCATCACGTGAGAAAGGACCGCCTTAATGTGTTAGTTTGTGCATCGTTTGACAGGAGGTCACATTAACATCCAATCAAAACACCGCTTTCACGCACTTCTATTGCAACATATTGCGGAGTGTTTGAGCACAACTTTTGGTACAGTCGGCAAAACAAATCTTGGTTGTATAATTAAAAACAAGATTGTTTAAAATGTATTTATT